TCCCTAAGTCTGAACAGTAAAAAAAAAGGAAAGTTTAATGCCACCCTTCTCTCATTCTAATTACTCCTCTCCTACCGTCATCCTGCTCCTCCCTCCCTCTCCCCCCCCCCCCTCGCTCATACACCCTGTGTTCTGTCCATCTCTGTCTCCGTCTCTGGTTCTTCCTCCTTTCCATCCTTCCTCCAGCTCCATCCCAGTGGTTGCCAAGGCGATAGTTTTTTGTGGAGGCAGCTGGTTAGGGCACATTTATCAAACCGCTGACCTCCCCTCTCCTCTCCTCCCCTTTCCTCTCTTCTCCTCTCCTCTTTTCTTCTGGTGTAGTAGAAAAAGACTCAACAGGATAATTTACACTCTCATACATCCTCCATAAATGCTCTCAAAAGAAACGGCGGATTTCAGCTCCATCAACTCCTGACACCGCGGCTTCAGAGTTGTCAAATGTAGTTCGAAATAATCCGTTTACGTAATGAGCCGATACTGATTGGATTTCTGTGAACAGCGGGGGGGAAGAAAATTCACTTTTTAGAAAATATGTTTTAGACCATTTTTCAGCAAATGTTTTTTCCCCTACAGTGTGTTTAAATAACAACATGTGTGTAAGAACAAACGTACAGGTATGAACCATGTCACGGATCGGTAGCTTATACACATTTTCCCGACTCTCTCACCTTCACTGCAACAGTTATGAAAGAAAACAAAAGTGCTGACCCATTTTGTTATAAGTGGTCCACTTATTCCATCTGGACCTGTGGAAATAAAAATAGAGCCACTGCAGGCGATGTGGATGAGACGGCTCCAGGATGACAGACAATTGCCCTCGCCCCTGACATACGTGGTGAAGAGGCAGAAAAAAAAAAAACTACAGTCACAGATCAATGACGTTAATAGATTTTTTTTTTGTTATGAAAAATTCAAAACTTTGAGGCGTCAAAAAGCCTTTATAATCTCGGTCAATTACACTGTCAGCCATCCTCCTCCCATCATGACTTTATCTCCCTCACTGAGCCGCTCTTATTTCCGCCCCGTCCTCCCCCCCCCCTCGCCTTGTCCCATCTCTGTATCAGAGAAACTAAAGCAGGGTAGACTTGGCCCAGAGGCTAATCTATTTTGCTGATCTAAATAGCTGATCTATTTAGATCAGCTATTTTGTTGATGCCTTTTTCTGCCTCAGTCCTTCCCCCGAGGGAACATATCAGAGCTCAGTGTGCGCTGCGAGTCGATGGGAAGGACAGATTGTCCAAAAACATGTTGTTTGGCAGCAAAGTTCTTACTGTTCGCTTCACGTGTTTCCATGTTCCACCAAGATTATTAGGATATTTACGGTAAAATCAAAGCACGGTTATGACTCTGGGCTTTTTCCAAAGATACCACTTCGGACATTTCCCACATTTAATGTGTGAAAATGGTTGCGAAAGAAAAGGATTAAGGGGGAAATTAAAGGGAAACAACGTTTAATTAGATCCGAGAACTTCATTCATCTCTAAAATCTGGACATAAAAGGGACGGGATCAAAGATGAACTCGGGCTGGAGCTAAAGTCAAACTGACATTTAGTGCAAAATTTCCACACTTTAAATCTGACACACATTTTAAAAACACATGTCTACACACGCACACTTTCGGTAACTAGGACAGCCAAAAAGAACAGTCCATCATTTGATTTAGACAAAGTGTTATTAAAACCCACTTAGCCCTGGCTGTAAGAGGTACAAGCTATGGAAACTATGCCGTGGACCGCAGGCTGACAGTCAGGCCTGCAGACATCTGCTTTAAATCTGACCCAAACAGCCGACACATTGGGCTGTGGGCTGCTCTCAGTGCAACAGCATCTTCCTGGGTTACTCATCATGACGGTGCAATTTGTGTCCTGGCTTCATATGCATTCCTTCAAGTAATAACTGCAGTATTTGAACACCCTCAGTGATCCAACAGCTGACGCCTTCCAGACTGAACCTCAGTGGACTACACCCTGCTGCATGTCCAAACAGGGTTTTTATTCATTTTCACTCCATCATATGAAGAACCACATATTTACTGTTACAGCTCCACCATGACAGACAGGCCCAACCTTCGCCAGGGATTTTGGACTTGAAAAAAAAAAAAGAAGAAGGTAGGACAGGCCTGTTTTAGAGGTAATTTTTTTTAAAGATGTAAGACGAGGAAAAATAAATGGTAACGTAAGAACTGCTTTTTAAGCCAAAAGTGCAAAACAAGTACTTTTGTTAACTGATGATATAATGAATGTAGGACACTGTTTGTTGGTTACGTTGCTACAAGACATTTTCTGCCAAAAAATGCTTAGACAAGGAAAAGCAAAGAAACTTCTCTTTCCAAAATAACTACATTAAAAAAATAAAAAAGAATAAAATATAAATACAGTTTAATATTAGACCAACAATAGCTAAACATTATCTAGAGCACAGGTAAAGTCAAAATTAGCTAAATGTTAGCCAAAAAAATAGCTAAATGTTTGTCTAGTCTCTGGTCATCAATCCACCAATCAGTTTACATTAAATTATATAGGTGTGTACTTTAAATTAAAACCAGCCATAATGGGTCCCCGGGTCAGAATTTTATAGGTGTGTACTTTAAATTAAAACCAACCAAACCATAAGACCTAATGGGTCAGACTTGAAGCCACTTGCTAATTAATTAATTAATTAAAAAGAACACAAACACTCTGTAAATGGTAAATTAGTGCCGGAGCCTGGTTCCGTCGTCAGTATAACGAGCTCAGCCTCAGTCCCTGACAGGTTGATCACAGACAAGTCACAGACAGACTGTGCTTCTCTATGATTATGATTCTCTATGACAGCAACGATCACCACGCCCCCCCGACCCACGGTGCATTGCAGATTTATGCTTTTCACGCTAAAGCCAGAACACCAACACGGCTATGAGCCGCCAGGAGACGACTTCACACCAAACAGTCATTTATGTTTGGTGAGCACACCCACCCACCCCTCCCTGTGTGTGTGTGTGTGTGAAGGAGAAAAAGAATGGGGAACAGACCAGTAGAGCCCACCTTACTGACCGCTGAACAGAAAACAATCATCATCACATTCACCTCAGTGGGAGCTGGGAGAAAAACAGTAATTTCACTTCTCAGTGTGGGAGGATTCCAGGCCAAACATCTGCAGTGTGTGTGTGTGTGTGTGTGTGTAAAGTTGTATATACAGTGTGTTCATAAATAGGCTGTAAAATGTTCAAACCTTTACTGTGGGTTCTGATTTAATAATGTCAAATTCAGGTCCTCCAGTGACACTGGGTAGTACACTACACATTAGTTGTAAAAAAGTACTGCACACATTTATATAGTGCCCAAGCATTACTAGTTAGTACCAGTTATTAAGCAAGTAATACACAAAACATAAACAAAATTTTCCAAAAAGTTTGGAAACTCGAACAGTTACGCCAGAAAAAGCTAGTTTTAGCCACAACTGTTTAAATCTGAGTTAGCTTAAAAAAATAGATAAATACGAGTTTTAAGAAATGTAGCTAAAATGTTAGCTAGAAGATAATAACAAGAAGGATGCCGAAAGAAAACCCAGGATACATAAGACATAG